TCTCTTTCTGTGACTACACAAGCAACAGCGACTAGAATTGTTGCGCTTTTTTTATTATATATGTTTTTTACATTGTAATATATATTTCTTTTTGTTTGAAAAAGAAGAATTAGTTTTTTACATAAATTTGTCTTTTCTATTGCGGCGGTTCTTTGATCATTCTTAGGCTCTATACATATACATATATATACACATACACCTTTCGGAGGCCACATAAGATAATTTTATTAATAGTTATTGTCATAATTGTTGCACGACCCGAGAGTTACAGTCACGTTATTATGTCACGTAACGGTGTAATCAATTATTGCGTGGTTCCCGGGCAGTGTTTCGCGTCGCTGAGCAACATCTCGCGGAATATCAATGGGTCCATTGTGAGTATTTAAAAGAATTCGCTCCCTCTATGTTGTTAGCAAATCCGTGAAAATTTCAACTTTCAAGTTTTCCGCTCGATTGAGTACAGGTGCATCCTACGAATCAACCGGCAATCTGTCATATAAATACGACCGGCTCTTTTCTCTTCTAAAGTTACTGTAAATTTCACCTAGGAGGTGTGTGTAAAACTGAGCAAGGCGAGCGCGCGCGCGCCATATGCGAAGCGCCATTTGGCAAAAGGTCAACAACAATGTCACCAATCGAGAGGAGCATGTTTCCTTCGTCGTTGTATCTCGAGGCAAAAGAAGCGGGGCGCTGTAGAAAGGGTGTGCTACTCTCAAAAGACGAGCACCTGCCTGCCTCGAGGTGAAGCTCCTACATCGACATCTCTGTGCGCATAAAAGGGATTTATCCGTTTCTTCGTATCGGCGGTTAGCCACAGCCACAGCGTAACGCGACGGTGTAAAGTAAGCGTCTCTTGCGCGGCTCGCGCTCGTTTTGCGATCGCGCGGGAAAGAAACTGATCCACTCTCTCGCCCAAGGCGCTCGAGAAATCTGACAAAAGTGTTGCACACACGAATAAATCTTTACTTTAGGTATTGTATAAGATACACACGATCGGTTCTCAGAACGCAATTTGACATTCGGCACAGCTTGTTTAGAAAAAAAATATCTTCTTCGATCAAAGGATCCGTTCTTTTCTTTTTGTTTTTTTTGTTTTTTATCTAGAGCATCTTACATATGTCTCCGCAAGCGGTGTTATAATTTCGTCGGAGTTTTCTAAGCGAGTTTTCTACGAAAGAACGAAGATAATGCCGATATACTAGAGACAATTACAGATAAACAAAGTAACAAAGGTTGCGTCTAATATTAGAGACATTATCTTTTCTTGGAAAATGTTGCGTTAAATTACCCAGTGGTAATAAGTAAACTTTAAATTACGAAAAATTTACAAAATCTAAAATAAGAATATTGTCGTTGAAGTATACCAAGTATATGTAATCGGCAAATTTACAGATTAAAAATACTGTAAACCACAAAAATATTACTTATTCATCCAATCGTTATTTTATTCGATCACACTTGCGCTCTTTCGCTTTCGCATTCCAGAAGATCATCCGATTTTACATCTAGAAAATTGCATCTCCGCGAGCGGATTCAATAAGAGGCGTTTATCTAATTCGAAGTAGGAATAAAAACAGCACTCGCGCGTGGCGTTGAAAGATTTTCTTTCTGTCTTTCTCGTGACTGAGAGCGCGAAAGAACGTCGAGAGAATAGATACGTCAGCTGAGAGGAGAAAACCCGCTTGCAGGATTGGAGTATCCTTCGCTCCGAGCACTCAAAAGGGGATTATCCGATCTCGAGTCTCTATCGATGGTTCGCTACATAGTGTAACGCGACGATCAAAGTTCGCTATGCGTCGTCATCCCGACCTATATAAGACCTCTTTCGTGCGATCGTCAAACCAGGAGAATACGTACACGAGGGGATATAGAGTTGTCTGTACACGCCGCACAAAATTAACCAGCTGAGGGCTGAATCTTGTTATTATTAGTTATCGCATTAATACGCGCGACGATAATAACGATCCGTCACACGAAGCGTCATGTACACATCACGTTTTGCTGCACATCGCAGCACCGGTTATATGCAAGATTTCACATGAAGAATCGCATTTTTATAATTCTTCTAGGATTGATTTGTTTAACAAGAAAGATTCCGATATTCGTACTAATCCGAAATATTCTTCTGAATTTTATGAGAAAATTATTTGATTAAATTTGATGTGCAAAAAGTTTACGTGAACATAAGTTTTGGTAAAAAAGTTTTCGCAAAACTTTTCACTTATATATTTCTCGTTTCTATTCGCGAGAGAAAATTACATGATCAACTTTTCTCTCTCCGAAGAGCTCACTTCAGAAAATCATTCCGTCTTCAAACATTTTTTTTCTTCAGCCGAGTAAAACGATTTTTATAGACTATCGATCCGCGAAAGAAAGTCAATATTATTCTAAACGATCGTAACTTAAATCAGTGTACAGATTTATATTTCGTTAAGTTGTGAACAAACCCAGGTATTTACAAGAAAGAAAAATTCAAAGAAAACGTAACGAATAATTTATAAAAACAATTTCATCAAGTTACCGCACACAACAAATTATCGTATTTCAAATTTATAACCAAAGTTCGATGGAATTCTACTTTTGCGTTTAGAATTCAAAAAGTTTTATTCCAAGATTTTCGTACGCTGTGTATTATCGCCAGTAGCGACGCAGACGAAGCATTATTTGCTATAGCTAATATTTTCAATCTAGCGAGCCATTAGTAGAGCGGAAAACTGTAGAAAACGTTTTTTTTTTGTGC